CAGTGGCCGGGCATCGAACCAGCACCGCAGAGGCTGCGGGCAGCTTTGCAGCCCAGCGCTCAACCTCTGTGCCATTGGGGAGGCCCGCAAATGTCTCTTGATGTATGGTCAAGTTGTCCTCTTCCCTGTCTCTCATAAAACTTTGTCCCCCATTCCTATCCCACCCTCTGGACTCTATCCCTCATACCACTGTCACATGATCAGCTTTTACTAGCCTGTATGGTTTCAATAAATGTCGCAAGAACTTCTGTTCAAGTGTCAGAGTCTTGCCTGGCAAACCTGCTCCACGACTGCTGTGGTCCTCATCACATTCCCGCTGCAAAGTGGCAGCACAATTCTTGTCACAACAACACACAACTTTGGTTTCTGCAGTGCTGCCCTTCTTTAGTCCAAGACCCCCATCTCTAAAGGCCTGCTGGAGCCTTTCTTCACAGTGAAACCTTCATAGATGCTCCAGGGCAACTTTCTCAGACTTGACCTGTGAAATTTTGATAGCTTGAGTTCCAGCAGTGATTACAGTCTCTGCCCCACAATGTTCACACTTCATGTCCAGTTATTTCAGGATGTGGTCTCTTTTGTCTCCAAGAACAAGATGATAAACTCCTGGCAAGAGACGGGGACTCGGTTTAATCTTTTCTTATGGTTTCTCGAGACCTAACAGGATGCTGTCCACACAGCAAGCACCCAATAAATATTTGTTAAGGACATGAATTATAAATGTAAAGATAACATTGACTACGTGTCCAAGCAGAAGAGAGAGAGTGCCCTGAGACATGGGGGGTGGGAAGTCACCTGTTTAACCAGACTGGACAAGGAGGGTGGAGAGGGAAAACACATCTGATCACCTTTCTTTAGTTATAAAGCTTCTCCTGCTTATGTCCCAATTTCTTTCACTCTGGCTTTGTTTCTTCACCCATTTCAGTCTGACTCTGCCCACCTTGGGTACCATTCTAAAGGCAACAGTAATCTCCCTGCCACTAATTCCAGCAGAAACCTTCAGTCTTCATCTTGTTCTCTTAAAGGCAGTAGGCAATTAACCAGCTTTCCCTCTTGAAATCTCTCTATCCTTGACTGAGTGCTGCTCCTCTCTCCTTATTTCCCTCCTAAGTTCTTTGGTTGCTCATTCTCAGTTGAATAGGTCACTTCATCTTTTGCTGATCTTTAAGCGTTGGATTTCCCTGAAGCACAGGCCTGGGTTCTCTTCCCCTTCACATTATAGCCTTTCCCTAGGTGAGCTCATCAACAATTCAATTGCCATCTTTGCGCTGACATTTTCCAACTTTATGTCTCACAGCCACCACAGCAGCAGCTCTGGTCAGCTCTCCTAGTTTCTGCTCCTGCCTGTCTCCACATATTGCAGCAGAACAAATGTTTTATTTTATTTTTTTAAAGATTTATTTATTTATGCATACAAGAGCTGGGGCACAGGCCAGAGATGCAAGGGGGTGAGAGGATTCACCAGAGACAGAGTGGGGAACAGAACAGGCAGACAGACTGAAACATACTGCTGAGGGGAGCAGCAGGCGAGACAGGAGAGGTCTGCTGTGCAATGTGGGTTGCTCCCTGGCCGGACTGGGATTGAACTTGTGCTGCAGAGGCTGCAGATTGCTTCATAGTGCGGTGCTTAACCCCTTGCACTACCAGGGAGGCCCAGAACAAATGTTTTAAAGTACAATGTATGTAGCAGGCATAATGTCAATGTATTTCCTCTTCTCCATAATGGAGAAGCTTTCCACCATCAAGACTAAGCCATGAAATGATATTTGCAGCTGCAGGGAAAAGGAGAGCATGAGAAGGAGTGTCTAGACCAAATAAGTTGTCATTTAGTTTTGAGTTTTAAACTTAAACTTTTAGAGTTCATAGCAGCCCCCTGGACTGGCTCCTCTTGGGCATGTTTCTTAACTGTACCTCGTATATAGACTAGGGGTCCTAGCAGTGGTGAAGAGCACCATGACTTCTTGATAAAGAGTGAAGATACTGCTGGACACAGCCTCTCTCTTTCAAGTGGACTTCTCCAGGTTTGCTAACGAAGGTCTGCCTCCCTGCATGGCAGAGTGTCACAATTGTCATAAGGTCCTTCCATTGTTGATCACAAGGCAATGCTGAGGAAATCTTAGAAGTCCTTAATCTTGACACAGTAAGAAAAGTAGGTGCATGGTGGCCACCTAATTTATGCTATGTGGCACCACACTCTGATTGCAAATGTTCAGTTAATGACCAAAAGTTTCATTTTAAAATTCTGACCAAATAGTCTTTTGTTCCCACAACAACTTGGTGTGGTCTTGGTCAGGACCAAGGACAGCAGATGTGACCCATAGGTGGTGGACCTGTTCCAGCTGGGAGGAGAATGTACTTGCAACCACGGGTAGGATCCTGTAGCGTAAAGGAAAATTACACTTTGTTGACATAGTTGGAAAAATTCAAGTGGGGTCTGCAGATTGGATCTTTACATTGTTTCACTGAGGATTTCTTCACCTGCATGGCTAAAGAGGGGTGTGTCTGCTTTAGGGACATACACACTGAGTATGTGGGCGTGTTGGGGCATTCAACATGTCTGCAAATGGTTCAGAACATGACTAATGAAATGGACACATACATATATAAACACACACAGTCCCTGGACAAGCAGGAGCCCAGGAGTCCTTTATAGACTCCACATTTGTGAATTTACCTACTTGCTAAATTCATTTGTAACTCCAAAATCAATCTTGGGTACTTCCTCGGTTATTCTAAGATGTGTGTAGTGTGGAGAAATACTTCAGTTGCCTGAGGAACACACTTCCTGCAGTGGTCAAACGATATGATGCCTGCCTTTGAAACAGAGCAACCTCGCGCAGGGGAGGGGGATGGACCTGTTGGTGGGTCCTTGACCGAACACTTAACAACTGCAGGACGTGACTCAAAAACAGACTTGCAGGAGAAACAACAGTAACAGGGTTTACTAACAGGGAGTGAGAAAGGGGAGAGCAAAGTGAGACAGAGTGTTTATCCTTTCCAGACAGTGTCCACATTGTAGAGTCCAAGCCAAAAGCCACATGTGGAAGATGGCAGCTGCCCCTGAGCAGAGGTGGGGAGGGCAAGAAAGAACCCAGCTGCACGGAGGAGGTGGCAGCTGGTCCTCCAAAGAGAGCCTGGAGCCAGTTGCACAAATGAAGGAAGAAGGGACAGCCCAAGATCCGCAGTCATGCCAACACCAGATAAAGGCAAAGGGGGAAGAGAGGAGATCAGAATGCAGGGACAAAATGCCAAGCCAATGCCATTCATCGAGACAGATGCCAAAAAGAGAGAAGCAGGTCCAGACACATTGCAGTCCTGCCCCTGTGCCTTCTGACTCTAAACTCCCAAGGGGGCTTGACTCAGCCCCCTTCCCAGAAGTCATCCATCTACCCCCCTCGACACATCAGAGGGAGAGCGCCACCCTTCCTCTAGCGGGAAAAAGTGGAGCAGGGCAGACCTTCCTGCCCCTGCAGGAAGGCTGTGCAGGCTGCCTCCAGGGCCCATGGGTGCAAGGCTTACTCACACTGGGGGCTCCAACACCTTGTTTCATCTCTGAGATTTTAAACAAGGGCCCTTCTCTCACCTACTCAGAGTCATGGTTTGCAAGTTTGCATTTTTGTGCTTTCTGTGCTATTAAAAATGTCCCCCAAGCTGTTGCTCCAGTCAAATCTAGTTTCCTAAGCACAAGAAGTGATGTATCTTATGGAGAAAATACAAGTATCAGGTAAGCTGAGTTCAAGCATGGTTTGCTGGCCATGAGTTCAATAATGAATGAATAATACATATAAGAGGGGCTTCCCTGGTGGCGCAAGGGGTTAAGATGCAACCTATGAAGCTCACCAAAGCCACCACAGCACAAGTTCAATCCCTAGCCAGGGAGGTGACCCACATGGCACACAGACCTCTCCTGACTCACCCGCTGCTCCCCTCAGCAGTGTATTTCAGTCAATCTGCCTGTTCTGCTCCCCACTCTGTCTCTGGTGAATCCTCTCACCCCCCCCCCAAAAAAAAACCAACTCTGGCCTGTACCTCGGTTCATGTATGTATAAATAAATCTTTTAAAAAATTATAATACATATTAAGTAGATGCCGTAAACAGGACACATAAAGTAGGGTTAACAACTGATCACTCGATGAAAAGGTGGGAGTGGCTCTCGAGAAAGGACCTGTATTTGCCAGGGAATATTCCCAATTTGGTGTTGCCTGGGACTTTGTAAGCAGAGAAGGCACAGCACATACATGTACAGAGCAGGGGAGGGTGTGATAAGGTAAATACGGTGGTTATCAATAACTGGGGTACCTAAGAGACGGTGAATAGGAATTTCTGGTATGGTCTTGCAAACTTTCTTAAGTTTTCGAATCACTGCTGTAAAATTTGTTCTTTCTGGGCAGAAAGGGCTTTCAGGCTTCGGAAAGCACCAGAGGGGCGCAGGGGGCCCCTCAACCTCCCTCCTGCTCACTCACCATCTGACAATGCAGGGCGCGACCAGGACGGTCCCTACTTTGCTGAGCCCTTCTCCTGAGGGCCTCCACCTCGCTACCTGGCGCCCCACCCCCTGGCGTCCCACTACCTGGCGCCCCACCCCCTGGCGCCCCACCCCCTGGCGCCCCACCCCCTGGCGCCCCACCCCCTGGCGCCCCACCAGCGGCCAGGCGGCGACCCGGGCCTCTTTGGTCTGGACTCAAATATTCCCGGCCTCGCAGGGGGCCGAGTGCGCCTGCGCAGGGCCGCCTCACCGTGACCAAGCGACTCAGAGAAGCCGCAGGACGGTTCGAGAAGGCCGCGGAGGAGCTAGGAGTGGGCGGGCCGATGGGGCCGCGGCGGAGCGGGATTGGCCGGCTCGGCGATGACGTCGTCGGGCGTCCCGGGCACGCCCGGCGGCGGCGGCGCTCGGATCCCGCGGCTGCGAATAAATGGCCGGGAGCTGCTCGTGGCGCGATGCCGCGCGCTCCCGCCGACTCGGAGGGGCTTCGGCTGCCTCCGGGGTCTGGAGCCCCTCGGCCTTGCCGGCGTGCCCCCCGCGCTGACCACCGCCCGGGAGACCCAGCTTCCTGTCTCCCGCACCTTCTGCTCGCCCCCGCGCCTGCCCGGCTGTCCGTGGCGCGCCAGGTACAGCTTGACCCCGCGGAGCCTGCGGGGTCAGGGTCAGGGTCAGGGGCGGGGGCGGGCGCCTACGGCCGAGGCGGGGAAGTGGGGGGCCGGGTCGGACAGGTCTCAGAGCCCCCCCCCCCACGCCGGGCAGCAGCCCCGCGAGTCCGCCGCCTGCACGCGCGCGGAGAGCTCGAGTGTCCTCGCACAAGGACTGGGGATCCGGGGTGCTCTCGTCTCGCTGGGGTGTGCTTCGCCTCCCGTCAGTTCTGGGTAAGATTTCGGAACACCTGCTCGGGTCGTCGTGAGCTTGTTGGGCTCTCCTGAGGCAGCGGTGGGCGAGCCAGACGGGGCCTCTGTGCCTGCTGAACCCCATAGTAGAGGACGAGCCTGAGGTTGGAGACCAGGGGAGGCCTCGGTGCAGGGGAAGGAACTACGGGATCCTTTAAGGGGTGTGGATTGGTGATGGTGTTAGGAAAGGCCCCTAATTAAGACCCGAGGACAGGAGTAGTTGTTAGCTGGGGCCAGAGTGTGCCAGGCTTAGGGGACAGCGCAGGAGATGTTCCCAGGGCAGGGGATAGAGCTGATGGGAAGATTCGGATAGATGGTGGGGACTCGGATTCTGGGAGGAACTAGAGTTTTGAGGGGTTCAGTGGGTACCAGAACGAGGGGACTTTGTGAGGCGTGCTTTGAACTTAAATTTTCTCTCAAGTGCAGTAGTGATACTGTTATAGGGCAGCCCCGATATTGAACGGGTTGCCTGGCTGTGGGTCCTCACCCGCGCTTAAAAGGGACTTATGAATACTCCACTACAGACACACACAAAAGGTTAATAAAAGGTTTATTTACAAGGGAAAAGGAAATAAGGAAAATGTACAACTCAGGGAGAAAATAGGGAAATAAAGTCTTTAATGCGTCCTACCCTATCCACCAACCTGGAAACCCAAAGGCACTCTCAGAGCTGGCAGGACCCTGCGAGCTGGCGGAGAGCCAAAATGGGGGACCCCTCCAAAGCCCACATGTCTGGCTTTATACCAGCCTGGCTGCTTAACCCCACCCTCAGGTCCCAGCCACCTTCCCTTTGGTGGTGATGGGATTTGGAGTTCCCAGTGTCTTTGGCTTTGGCCTGGGGTGGGGGTGGAGTCCACAAAGCCTGTATGGAATTAGCTTTAGGACATCCTTTTCCCCCTAACAATACCACCTTGTCTATCTGTTTTCTACGGTGAGTTAACATGTTGTGCTTCTCCCTGACCAGCTCCAGCTTGATTGTCATTAAGGAATAAGTTATAAGTGAAGCACAGCGCATAAGGGAGTTACATTAAGAGAGCAGCAAGGGACAGAGTTGAATCTCTGTGGGGTAGTACAGTCAACTAATATGACTCAGCACCTAGTAACAGTTTTGTTTTCATCCACAAGAGTATTCAGCAGATGAATTTGTGAGTTCGACTTCACTGAGACTGATTTTGACTGGTAGTTGTGTAAATTGAATATGGGAACTTTTGTTAATAAAAACCTGAATTGGGGGTGTCCTTTAATGCTGTTGCTTCTGAATAAGCTGGGTTTTGTACAAAAACTTCCATTTCTTTGCTGAAAGTCAAGAGTATGATGCTTTAGTCCCAGGGCCCGATGTGACATGGACATTTAGTGCTCCCTGCAGAGCAAGTGTTTATTTTCATTAGCTGTAAATTATAAATCCTGATGTCTGAAATTAGGGCTCTTATTGCTTTCCTCCTATTTTAATTCTTGTAGGTGATTCTTCATTCTGCCATCTGCATTTTGGACTCTTCTCATAATGGAGTTTCCTGATTTAGGGAAGCATTGTTCAGAAAAAACTTGTAAGCAGCTAGGTAAGCACTTTTAAATGGATATTAATTTTAAAAAATGAGTATTTGTTGCCTGTAAGTTGGGGAGACCTGCCATTATATTACTTAGCTATCTTTATCTGGGTCTTGACTTCAGTTTTGAGAATCTGAATCAGAGTTGTGGGTTCAGTTCAATGCTGTTGATTAGCCTCTAACAAAGGCCAGGTACCACGCTAGCAGCCAGGGCAAGAGGATATACGTAATGTGCTGCTTAAATACTCCTTATGGCCACATGACATGGGTCTCTTTTGAAAAGATAACTTTAAAGATTTTTCAGTGTTGTTGATACTGTGAAGACCATGACCCCCAAAATGTTTTTCTAGTGTGTTGTTCCTCAGGGATGTATTTATCTTGAAAGACATAAAGTGCTTAGTGCAGGTGAATAATTGTATATATGATCTATAGTTCTTTTGTTCTAGTATTTAAAAACACTTTATTCTTTTTTTTTTTAGATTTTCTTCCATTAAAATGTGATTCATGTAAACAAGATTTCTGTAAAGATCATTTCACATATGCTGCACATAAATGTCCTTTTGCATTCAAGAAGGTAATTTAGTATATGTTATTTAAAAGATTCTAATCCTCACCCTCTCAAGCTGCACTGTCTGAAATAGTGGATACAAGCTACATGTCACTTATAACTTAATTAAAATTAAGTTAGACATCAAATCAGTTTTGAAGTCACATTATTTTGAGAGCTCAGGTACTCTCGTGCATGGCTGACTTATTGAACGGGACAGGCGAGAAACCTTTATTTTTTTTTATTTTTTATTTTTTAAATATTTATTTATTTATTTATTTATTTATTTATACAAGCACTGGGTACAGTCAGAAGTGCAGGAGGGTGAGAGAATTCACCAGAGCCAGAGGGGAGAGCAAAGCAGGCAGACTGATGAAATACACTGCTGAGGGGAGCAGCGGGCGGCAGGAGAGGTCTGCGCACCATGTGGGACCCTCACCCGGTGGCCGGGGATCGAACTGGCGCTGCAGAGACTGCAGGCAGCTTCGCAGCCCAGCGCTCAACTGCTGCGCCACTGGGGAGGCCCGAGAAACCTTTACTTGGTCTCAGAAAGTTCTGGACAGCAAGTTTCTTAGATCATTATACTGAGGGAAAATACATGGGTGGAGGAAATAGTTTAATCCTTGACATGGAATCTATTCTGGAAAGTATTCAAAACACAGTGTACCCAGTGCTTGTATAAATAAATAAATAAATCTTTAAAAAAAAAAAAACCCCTGCTTAGTTGGGTAATTTCCCAACCTTGTCATGATAGGTGATTCAGATAGCACATGATACAAACTGGAAAATGACTTTCAGAAACTGAAAGAAAGTCCAAAGCTTTTAAGATGTTTGTTGTGGTGGTTCCCAGCCTGCATTCTTATTGTTTCAGGATGATTCACACATCATGAGTCAACGCTGTGTATCAGCAATCTATTCCTTTGCCATGGGGCAGTTAGAAGCGTGAATGACTTAGCATTCCATGCTTTGACCAGCATTGGCCTGGGTCTGACTTTCCAGCTTTTTCTAGATCATTGTAAGGTGTGGGGAAGGGTGACTCATCCCTTATGTTTACCAAGTACTGATGATTAGGCCAAATTGTCCGGCTTATTTGTTGAGTTGGACTTCCTGTATCCCTAGATAGGGAGAAGCTGCCTAGAGGTCATTTAGCAATACTTTAGTTCTTAAATTTGGCAGATTTGCCCAAGTCCTGGGTCACTTTCCCACTTGACCAGAACATTCTGTGATTACCTGTCATCTCACTTAGCTCATGAATTTCTTCAACTCCTACCCTCGCTAAGAGGTTGTTTTTTTTTTTTTAACTGTTTTGAGCATTCAGCTGCTGGTTTCCCTGTTTCTTCCTTCCCAAGCCCCTGCAGTCTGTCTGGATGATGGTTCTGGGAGTTCAGCCTAACTGTGTGCTGCTCCCTTCCTGGCTAATGAGCGAGTTTCAGTGTGTGGGAAGCCACAGGAGGATCAGAAAGACTACTGGCAATGCAAGTGAGCTGGAGTGTTTTCATGGCCAGTGTTTTCTTCGGCCATCTCCACTATGGAGCTGTCGGACCTAGACGGTGCCTGCCAAATAGCCCCCCTGTCCTGAGATCACGGAGGTTGATTTTCTCCACTCCCTTCCTTCTTGCCTTTTACTGACTGTCCCTGGGTCATTTCTGCAGTTGGCTAGTAGTCCCTGGTGTGTACATTCCCCTAGTCTACTAATCCATGGTACATACCACCAACACTGCCTTCTTGTGAGTGGTCAGAATATCAGTGTTTCTACTTTTATTTTCTTCTGTGAGTTTTGAATGTCTGCATTCTGAAATATCATCTTACATTCATTATTTTTAGGATGTTCGGGTCCCAGTTTGCCCACTTTGTAATAACCCAGTCCCAATAAAAAAGGGAGAGGTGCCGGATGTGGTGGTTGGTGAGCACATGGATAGAGACTGTAAATACCATCCTGGGAAGAAGAAAGAGAAGGTAAGGACAGATTCTGGTCTATTTTCTTTTCATTCTTGGTCCTTGTAGGTTTAGCCTTGTTCAGGAAGTCTCTTATCTACCATAGTCTTAGTTTTTTGGAGGGTCAGAGCCTTTATGTGTGCATAATCCCCTCATCCCCCGTAATCCCCTCACTTCTCCTGAGATAACAGTTTTTCAGAGCTTCTCAGCCCTCTCCCAAGCCCTCCCTGCTGCCTCCTCCCTGAAGGCCCCGTTCTCCCCATGGACCCTTCTGTTCTGTGCTGGTTGTTTTTCTGAGACTGGCTGCTTTCTCAGATGCACTGCTCCCCCATCCTGTCCTGATACTCTTCAAAATAAGTCAGGTGGGCTTTTTTTAAGAGAATTTGTCTGTGGAAAATTGTTTTTTGTCAGTTTAAATCACAACTTCTAGCCATGGATCCTGGTTTGTGGTTACCAATGACTTTACATTAAATACAGGATAGTTAGCTGTATTACAACTAATAAACGTGAGACCCATTGACTCTTCTTTCTGTTCTCCACCTCAAAGTGGAGTTAGCCTACACAGAACCCTTGGGGTAAGCTTACTCCATCCCCCATTCTTGACGCTACTCTTCCATGCTGCTGGTGCCATACATCCCTGCATTTTGCCTCCAAGCCTTCTGGAAATACCTTTAAAACCTCGTCTCTATACAAGACATGTTCCACCTGGCATGCTTCCCTACCAATTTGACACAGTCTTCCTCATTCTCAAGCCAACCCAGATTTACCACTCAGGCACCTTCCCATCCTTTTCACTCCAGAGTACTGACCCCCACACCCCCACCATGTTCCCCTGGAGCATTGCTCTCCACTCTTCGTGCACGCCCAGGTCATTCTGCCCATCTGCCAGAGGGCTGCCTGACTTTATTACCTTCTCAGAAGCCTTCCCCCACCAATAAACACCAGTAACTAGTGGGTGTAGGGGCTATAGATAGATGTTCTAGTTCTCTTGCTTCTGGTGGGGACAGTGTCCTCTGTCCCTGGATCCAGCTGCTCTCTGGAGCTATGTATGAAGCTGCTTGCCTGGCCGCCTCCTCCTCCCCTTCCACATCTCTGGTCCCCACTCCCCAGGTTTGGGGTTTGGTTCTAAGAACAAATTCCCAACTTACTGTGCTACTTTTGTATTTCTCACTTGCCAAAATCTTGCTTTGTCTCCTTAATCAGTATTCATCTCTTTACTGACACAAAACTGTTTAAATGAAACTTTGTGTCTCTGGTTTAAATGTTAATGGTTTTCTTGGGGGTTTGATAAATAATAAGCTTGCTCAAGCAGTTGAATTATCATTTAACTTTTGTATTCTCAGATTTTTTCATACCGGTGTTCCAAAGAAGGATGCAAGAGGAAAGAGATGTTGCAGGTGGCATGTGACCAGTGTCATGGCAATTTCTGTATTCTGCACAGACATCCTTTGGATCACAGCTGCCAACATGGGCTTCCCCCCATCAGCGCAGCCGGGTGAGAAGAATCTTAGCTATAGTGCCTTCAGACTTGAAGCAATAGAGTAGCCTTTGAGCATTGTTCCAGTCTACAGTTGTTAAATTTCTGCTATAGGAGTTTGGATGAATATAAGTTAAATTAAAACTGGATTCTAAATTAACATTGGATTTTAGTTGTATTGTTTCCTGTGTCTGCCATAACAAAGTACCACATTTGGGTGGAACTTAAACAACAGAAATTCATTCTTTCCGAACTTTGGTGGCCAAAAGTCCAAGATCAAGGTATCAGCAAGGTTCGTTCCCCCTGAACGAAGCCTCTCCCAGCTTCTGCTGGCTTGCTCTCTGTTTTTGGTGTTCCTTGGTTTGTAGACACATCGCCCTGATTTCTGCCTCCATGTTCACAAGGCCCCTCTCTCTCTCCCTGTGTGCATTTCTGTCCAAATGTCCCATGTTTATAAGGACCCCCATCGTATTAAACTGTCCTGATTTGCTCCACCCTGACCCCATTTGAACTAATCATGCCTGCAGTGGTCCTGTTTCCAAATGAGGTTACGTTCTCTGGTTTAGGTTTAGGTCTCCAACCTATCTTTTGTAGGGACACAATTCAGCCCCTTACATTAATGTTATTAAACAGGGGTACCTTTATCAACTTGAATAAAAATGGAAGCATAAGTTACTTTTTAATTATATTTGATTGTTTTTCTTGTCTGTATCTGAGTATCTGAGTAATTGTACAGTAACTCTATTTATGTGACTTTCTTGGTAAGCAAAGGAGTGGGTAGAAGTTGATCTAACCTTTCTGTGTAGGTGTTCAGCTGCAAGAGCCTCTGAATCCAAGTCTTCGGGAACTTTACGCAAGCGGACTTGTAGTTGGCTAGCTCAGCGACTCAGGTATTAGTCCACACAGAGTGCATGGATATAGCTGCTTTCGTGTGTGGTATGGTAGTAATCCCTGTTGAAAAGTTGCTACAGTGCAGTTAATAACTGGCCATCTGAGATTACAAGCTCCATTGGCATATAATGTAATCATGGGGGGAGGGCGATTCAGGACTTGAACTGTAGCATTCTCAAACCCCAAATTACAAAGGCAGTTAATTCTAGCATAAAGTGTAGTCAAGCAGTAGTAGTGTGTAGCTGATGGCTGAAATACTTTATTTGGCGTAGATCTGAACTACCACTGTTAGTTCAAGACAAACCTAAAAAAATAAGCTATTTTATTCTCTTTCAGGTGGAAAGTGAAGAGATGACAGGACTGTAGCTGTTCAAACTGACACATTAGCTAAGTTACATTTATTATTTTCACTTTATAGGTAATGTGTGCTATAGTGCTTTCATACTTCCACAGTTGAAAATTTTTTAAAGTGTTTCCAATAAAATGTACAAACTCATCTTGGTAAAATGGACAATCAAAAGGATAGTAATATTTTAAAGTGAGCTAGGCTACTAAAATAACCTTGCCACCCACCCCCCAAATTAGAGACAGTAGCTTGAAGAGCAAAGAATTAGCACCAGAGGCCAAACCTAGACTTCCAGAAGCTTCTTTCACTTAACATACAATAGACAGCTCTATCTTTATCATGTGGCTTGTATAGTGATTGGCCATCTGAGCCCAGAAAAGGGGGTCGTTCTTCTGCCTGTGTTGTCAAGGTTCCTTGTCCAAAGGTGGCCTCATCCGACCTCTCTCATTCGCTGACAGCAGTCCTGTTACCACACTGACACCACGTAGTGGACTTGGGTGGATGAACTCAGTGCAAGTCAGGAAAGCTTTCATTGCCTGGGCCTTGGTGTTAAGAAATGAGCTGAAACAAGGTGTCACACAGGTTGAGTCCTGATCTTAACCCATTGGTAACCCAGCAGTGCATTCCAAACTCTGCTGAGACCATTTATTATACCTGGACTAACAAAAATCTGATTTTATAACCTCAAAATACAATGGTGGGGGAATGAAGCTTGTAGTTTCTACAAACAGTCTTATTGGTCTTATTTGGTGATACTTGGTTTGGACATAGGAATCTGAAACTTGAGCTGCATCAGAGTCCTGTGAGGCCGGGGGGCTTCTTAAACCAGAGTGCAGGGTCCATGCCAGAGTTTCTGATCCTGTGGGTCTGGGGTGGACCCTGAGAATTTAGCTTCAAGGTGAAGCTGATAACTCCTGCTCTGGCCACCACATCTGGACAAACCTTTCTGCCTCTCTGCTGTGCAGTACAGCAGCTAGGAGCCATATGTTATGGAGCGTGAAAAACATAGCCAGCAGTGTGATTCAGTTATTAGAAAACTTTTAAGTATGTTAGGAACTTAGATATGTGAATCTATTGTTTCAACTATAAATTTTATAGACTGCAAATATAGATTAGGTCTTTCTCATGCAAATATAATGTCTAAGTTGAGATGTATCTAAAATGGGGATCTAAAACACCCTGGGCTTTGAAGACGCCAAGAAAAGGTGAAATATGTTTGTCATTGTCTACATGTTGAGATGATAATACTTTGGATATAACATGAAATAAAAACATTAAACTTTCGGGTTTTATTTTTAATTGTACTACTAGAAATTTTAAAAATAGGTAACTTGCATTATATGTTCATTAGATAATGCTGTTCTTGATCATACAACTAAAGGATAGAAAACATCCACATTTTATCAGCAAGGAAAATAATCAATTTAGGAATCTACTCAGATTTGATTGGGATATTTAAGTGTAGTACCTAACAGTCACAGCACTTGGTGTTTTACCATCAGTGCTGTGTTAATAAGCAAATAGTTCAAAGGTATGAAAGGTTAATAGACAAGTAGCTCAAAGGGATGAAAGGTATGAATAGTTCAGTGTCCCCTTGTTCCTGCCTCACACTCCCCAGTATGAAGTCACTGCCCACGATGTCACCTGTATCCAGAAGCTTCTGCATTTACAACAACCTACGTTCCCACACATCAGGGTCCTGCTTGAATGTTCTACTCACTCTACCTGCTTTTTCCTGCGTCTTTGTCACCAACATCTTTCTACACCAGCAGGAGTAGGTCTCATTCATAAGCAGCTACCTGCTCTTCCAGTAAGTTGGACATGCCCTTTCCCTGCAGTCTGCTGGTAATGAACACAGTGATTTCTAGTGTTAGTGTTGCTGTGCTGAAGAGTGCATATATTTTAACTTTTGATGGAAGGTCAGAGCTGCCATGTAGAAAATCATATATCTTCCTGTCCCTGTATTTCCCCATACCCTCATCAACTGTTTTATTGGTTTGTTTTTTTTTCCCCTAATATGATGAAAGCATGGGATTGCCTTACTTTGAATTAGTGCACCTTTAATAAATGAAGTTAAGTATCTCTTACTGATAATTGCACCTTTGAACTTCAACTAAAGGAGTCAGCTGGGATGGATCATGTTGAGGTACTCATGACACAGTTTGAACCTGGCGATGTGCCAGGAGATAGGGACACCACCAGAGTTTTTGAATTTTTTTTAATAGTTCTGAGGGCTTTTTTCATAGGAAATGCCAATATATTATTAGTAGGAATTTTGGAGAGTTGTTTTTAGTGTCAAAAATTTGTATGCAATTTTGAGAGAAGATTGAGCAGCAAGTTTTGTATTCCCCATCTGTCCAGGTAGGAAGGGGGTCACTTCCTTAGCTGCTGGAGTGCTTCAGTGGAAATGTTTGGGAAGCACTGGCAGAAGCAGGAGCATCCATGTTGTGAAACAGAATTAAGTTAGGTCTCACATTTTGGGAGTCCCTTGGAGCTTGCTGTGTGACTGTGGGCTTTCTTTACCCACAAACAGCACCAGAGGGTGTGGCTGAGGCTAATATGCTCCAACAAAATGTGAGCTGATAAAACCTGTCTTTTCCCACCTTCCCTGGCTGCCTGCCTTCCTGGGGCAGAGAAGCCTCCAAACATAGTAAAGTCAGACAAGCCCAAAGCTTCATTGCAAGATGACACAGGCATGTGTGTGGTACCAGGTGCCCAGTCTGTCACCTTCCAACTCCAGTGATGACTAGAGGCAACCTGATGGGGTTGTTGAATTGGGGATCATGGGAGCCCAGGAGAAGTTGAACATTCTCTCGCTGACTGGGACAGACTTGTCAGGTGCTTGTCCTCAGTGTTGCCACCTGACCTTCAGCTAGCAGGAGATGCACGGTTGCCGGGCTGCTTTCTTCCCTTGCTTAAGTTGGGCCCTGTTGGTAGTGCCCAGAGCCAGACTGTGCTTCCATGTTGCATCTCTTCGGACGGACTGCTGACTCTCTGGTTGTGGGCTGCAGTATCAAGACATGTTCACAAGATGTCACCCAAAGGCCTTCTTCTGAATCACCGAGAGGGTGGACTGCTGAGTCATAGTTCTGAGAGAGAAGCTGGGTGCAGAATCCCTAGAGGGGTGGCTCAGTCAGTGTGTGTAGGTTACATGGGATTGCAGAGATTTATAATTACTTTTCTCTTCTCAAGAGCAAAATCCTAGCCTTTTTATTGAGAGAGAAAACGGTGGGTCAAACTGAACACAGGATTTAGGGCTTTAGGGAGGGTTGAGTCTGATAATATCTCCTGACTCCCACCCTGGCTCCAAACTTATTAACAAGGCATTCCACAGATCAGTTCCTGGGATGCAAAGTACATCAGTCATCAGCCCCCTGGGCACTTCCGATCCTACTTTGTCATTAATACCTATTGCCCTGGGGCAGTCAGTCGTCCTGCTCTGGTCTAACTGTACACACACTAGTTATTATAAATAATGCTGCAATAAACATTGTGGAGCATACAGTTTTTTGAGTTGATGGTTTCTGGTTCTCTGAGTAGATACTCAAAAGTGGGATTGATGAGTCATATGGTATTTCCATTTTTCAGTTTTTTAGGATAAGTCCAGACTTCTTTCCAAAATAACTGCACTAGTTTACATTCTACCAACAATGCATTAGTGTTCATCTTTATCCACATCCTCCCTGGCACCTGTTGAGGTGTGAGATGATACCTCATTATGGTTTTGACTTGCATCTCCTTTATTAAAAGAGAATGTGAGCATGTTTCCATATATCTGTGGACCTTCTGTATATCCTTTTTGATAAATTATCTTTTCAGATCTTCCCTCCATTGGAGTTAATTTTTTTAATATGGTGTCACATTAGGGTCCAAGTTCCTCTTTTCCATGTGGACCTCCAGTAATCCTAGCACCATTTCTGTCTCCCTTTGATATATTGCTAACTTTTTTGTTGTAGTTAGCATTTTCTCATCAAATGGCCTGAGAATTCCAGATTTCATCTTGTCTTTTTCTGCCCCTGCCCTAGAATCAGACATATCTCCTCTAAACTCTAAGTTATTCTAATGGGAATGATATTTAGAAACCAGGTCTCTCTGGGTGCTAGAAGCGTTCAGTGCTTCTGAATGTCACTGCTTCTAGGCCCTTTTAACATGCAGAGCTATATTTATTTTCTGTATCCTCTATGACTTGAGATGACTTGAGGACTTGAACATGGTAATGACCTTCAGGAAAGAAGAAGAAGATGCCAAAACTGGCCTGATAGAGTATATAGGAAGGGAAGGGATGCATGCCTCCTAATCTGGTGTGTAATTTTCTGCAACAGAGGCATGGCTGCCCTTCAAACCCCAGGGTCCTGTGCCAGAGGTACCACACAGTCTTCATCTACTACACACATCTCAAAATCTCCTGGATCTTACATATTATGAGGCTCAGTACTACAAACTGCATCTGCTTCAGAGTCCTTTGCTTTGGGCCCCACTCTTCCCCTGCAGACTTCCAAGTTACCCAATAAATGAGTGGTGGCCATGTTAAACAGGATCTGCTGCCTCTCAAATCCCAGGGGCCAGACAAGGGAAGTAGAACTGTTTCTTCCTGACATAAGAATTGTGTTTGTTTTATGTTTATTCATAACAAATTAACATAAAAATTAGCATCTTAAAACATTTACTACCTCACAATCTCTGCTGGTTGGGAATGAGGGTGTGGCTTAGCTCGCTGACAAAACTATAATCAATGTACCTACTGGTGTTTTATGTTTCAACCCATTTCCAATCTTGATCACATGACTAGTAGGAGTCCCTTCTGGAAGGCCACTGGATTAAGGGACTCAGTTCCGGTTAACTGAAGGCCTCCCTCAGCTGCCTGGGCCTCCATGGGCCTCACCAAAGGGCAGTTCCCAACATAACAGCTGGCTTTCATCACGGTATTTGGGGTAGGACACAGAGTCTGAAGTCCAAGCCAAAGCCATATATGAGAAGCTGGTGTCTTCTCCACAGATACCCTCACCAGCAGTTTGCCAAAGCCCCAGTGGTTTAATTACCAAAAATCTTGGCAGCTTTTTTCCCCATAGATTCCTTGCCCCCCACCCCCCTTTTAGGGGGGTAGAGTTTGGAAAGCTCCACCTCCTACCTTATAGTTGGCTATGAGCGCCACCCACTGGCTCAGAGGTTGCTCCTTACTGTTCCTCTTACACTTGGTCCCATAATATTTCACTGTGAAATTAGCACTCTGATGCCATTAAGTTGATTTTTAAAAAATGATTATATTTGACCAGCATTTTAACTTCTCGATGGGAGGCGGAGCTGAATGCCTGACTAGTCATCGGAGCTAAAAGCAAAACTAAACAATATATTATAAATATACTTATATATATTTATTGCTGAAGCGAATGTGTGAATGAAAACTTTTTCTTCGTAAAGCCAGTTTGAAAGCAGTTTGAAAACTAGTTTTTCCCTTAGTGAATAAAATTGACACGCATATATATGTCTGTGGCCCTGCAAATCTGCCTGTACATGCCCACAGACTCGTATCTGTGCAGGATGTTGATTATACATAGTTTGTGATAGCATACAATTAGAAACAAGCTAATTAACCATAAATAATAAAATTAGAACACCGGCTTGTAATAATTCCCTCTTAAAAAGAATCTTCCCTTGATTCCACATTCTCATCTGGATGCCAGCCCAATTCAAGATTCCCTACCTTGAAAGTTAGTTACACAAGCTCCCTTACCGTCCCTTAAAACAAAATATTTCCAAGAACTGAAAAGTGATATAAATCATGAAACCACCCAGATGAATAATTGTACCGATTTTACTTCTGACTTTAAATACACACATTATCTTTTTAGTCTTTAGTACTCAGTGTTTAAAACCTGAGCCTTATGTGTGAGGGACTCAATACGCGGGTCGGGAGAGAGGCCACGGTTCATTCAACGCAGCAAATTCCACGCCCTAACAGGGAGTGCCACTAGCAAGCTGAGGGCCCAGCGTGGGGCAGATGCCTTGGCAACCCGCGGCGTCTACGGATGACGCCACAAGCTCGCGCCGGGACCTGACACTGAGCCTTCCCGATCGCCTCTTGCCATTGGCTAGCGGGTAGACCAGGGTGGGCCTCGGCCAGTGGGCGGCGCCATTGGGGAAGGCGGGACGTGTTACCTGGGCGCCGCGGCTGCCGGAAGCGAGTTCGCTGGCCGCGCGAAGGTAAGCTGGGTTGGGGGGCCAGCGGGGTGGTAGGGGCATTGCTGGTCAGGGGGGATTGGGAGGGCCGTGGAGTGGTGGGGGTCGGAGGTCGGGTATGGGGGCGTCCGGGAGTGCCAGGGTGGCGGGGAATCGCGGGGCTGCCGGGAGTTGAGGGGCCGTAGGGACCGCGGGGGCGGGCCTCCACGTGGGTGCGCGAGGCATGGGATGGCCAGGCGGTGGCGGGATGAGCTGGGGTGTGGGCCTTCGAATGGGCTCTGGGGACCAGGATCTCGGGATGGACGAGGGTCGCGGGGCAGTGGGTGGTGGGCGAATGCGAAAGGTGGCAACCCAATGCTGCCCTGCGGAGCGCGTGCGGATTCTTAGCCGGTTCCCTGTGTCTTGGCATGCGGGCATTGCCTCCCGGCCCTCATTCATTTGTAAAATGCCGGTGGAGTCGTCCTGCGGCCGCACTGTTCAGGACTGACCTCCGGCCTCATGAGCTGACCTTCCGTAGGGGAGGCGAGGGTAAATGAATAGAATGGTGACAAGTACCAGGGAGAAAAGTAGAACTGAGCAGATCGTGGAGAGTAAACCGCGTTGTAGCTGGGGAACCCCGGTAGAGGAAATAGAGTTTGGGGGAGCAGCCAGGAGCCCCGCGTGGCTGGAGCAAATTGAGAGCGGTAGAGATGGAAGATAAGGTTGGGAGTGGGGCCAGTGGCCCTCCGTAGGGCTCTATGACTGTTCAAGTCAACTGGGAAGCTTCCAGCACCACTCACACAGGTATCTTTTTTTTTTTTTAAGATTTATTTATTTTTGCATACAAGAGCTGGGGTACAGGCCAGAGGTGTGGGGGTGAGAAGATTCACCAGAGACAGAGTGGGGAACAGGACAGGCAGATTGATCAAAGTACACTGCTGAGGGGAGCAGCTGGTGAGTCAGAAGAGGTCTGCTGCGCCATGTGGGTAGCTCTCTGGCCGGCCAGGAATCAAACTTGTGCTGCGGAGGCTGTGGACAGCTTTATAGGTTGTGTCTTAACCCCTTGTGCCACCAGGGAGACCCGTCACTTAGAAATCTTAAAAGTCACTGTAGATGCTTTGTTGGATCTGGACTTGAGGGGCAGTGGTCAAGTGTGGAAGCAGATTTTATAATCCAGGTTGGAGAGCTATTTTATAGCTATTGGAAAGCTATTTTATAATCTAGGTTGGAGATGGCCCAGGACACCAATGGTAGAGATAGCGAAAAGTGGTTGGATTCTGGTTGTGTTTTGGAGACAGGACAGAGACAGAGGAGTTGTGGGTGACTCTTAGCAGTCACTGCTTCCTTCTTCCCTGGCCCAGCCCTAAGCAAATACTAATCTTTGTTTCTGTCTATCATTTATTTATATGTATGTTTTATATAATTGGAATTATACATTTTGTGATATTTCATGTTTCACTTTCACTCAACATAATGTCTCAATATTCATCTTTATAGCGTATGTCAGTACTTTATTCCTTTTTTTGACTAAGTAATATTCCATTGCATGGATTGACCACATTTTATTTATCTGTTCATCAGTTGATGGACATTTAAATTGTTTCCATCTTTTAGATGTTATGATTAATACTGCTGTAAACATTAATGTTCACATTTTTATGTGATGTATTTTCTAGAGTGTATATATAGGAGTGAATGCATTATTGGGTCACATGATAACTATATGGAACTCTTTAAGGAACTGCCAGACTGTTTACAAAATGAATGCATCATTCTATATTCCACCAGCAATGAATAAAGTTTCCAGTGTCTGCACATCCTCACAAATATTTATTATTATCTGTCTTTTGATTATTGACATCCAGTGAATATGAAGTGATATGTCATTTTATTTGCATTTCCCTACTGGTGAGCAGTGTCCTCTTTTCATGAGCTTATTGGTTATTTGTATATCTTTGGATATTTCTAAATAAAAAGCCTTGTCCATTTTTAAGTTGTATTATTTGGCCCTTTTTTGTTGAGTTGTAAGAGTTCCTCATATATTCTGAATACAAGTCTCTTGTCAAGATATATGACTTGCAGAGAGTTTCTCCAATTCTGTAGATTGTCATTTTACTTTCTTGCCTGCATCATTTGCAGCATAAAAAATTTTAATTTTGACAAGCACAATTTGTTTTTTCTTTTAATGTTTTCATTTTTGGTGTCATATCTAAGAAATTGTTGCCTGACCCAAGGTCATGAAGACTTTTATGCTTTCATTAAGAGTTATGTAATTTTAGCTCTTACATCTAGGGTTTTTTTTTTAAGATTTATTTATTTATGCATACAAGAACTGGGGTACAGGCTAGAGGTGTGGGGAGTAAGAGGATTCACCAGAGACAGTGGGGAGCAGAACAGGCAGATTGACTGAAATACATTGCTGAGGGGAGAAGCGGGCGAGTCAGGAGAGGTCTGCTGCACCCTGTAGGTAGCTCCCTGCCTGGGGATCGAAGTCATGCTGCAGAGGCTGAGGACAGCTTCATAGGTTGCGTGTTAACCCCTTGCGCCACCAGGGAGGCCCCATATACCTAGGTTTTTGATAAATTTTGAATCAGTTTTTGCATATGATGTGAGGTTGGGCTTAACATTCCTTCTTTCTCACGTGGACAGCCAGTTGTCCCAGCACCATTTGTTAAAAAGACTGTTCTTTCCCATTGAATTGTCTTGGTGTCTCGATAAGAACAATTGAGTATAAATGGGAGGAAATGTCATTTTCTATAACAAACATTCATTGTCTCAGTTATGAGTCGCCATCTCTTAGAATTATTCAAAGACATCTTTTTATAATATGGAAAAATTTTCCACCCTTTTTAGCAAATAGACTTAGTGATTAAACTTTTAATGATAACTTACAGGATGAATATAGATTTGGCTTAACTTTTATAGTACTTAGTATGTAAATATTTGCTAAACTTACTTTTTTTCTCCAACAAGGTAATTGCTGGCAGAGACTTTTGTCTTTCTAAAGCCCCTGTGTCAACAGTCTCTCATTCTTTCAAGATTTCTTATTATACTGCTAATTGAAATTTGTAGCCTCTGGCTTTGGATACTTTTTTTAGATAAGGCTTAATTAAAGAATATGGAACCTGGAACTTTCTGATTTCACAGTAGTAATATTCTCTCCTTGTGTAATCAGTCGCAGTCCCAAATGGGACAGAGGGAGGAGCTCTTCACACTGGCTCTGTGTCCTTTGGATACTACCCAGTGGTTGTCTGGCTTGGTTTCCAGCATAGTGTGATCATTTGCTAGATAGCAGTACCTTAAGTAATGATATTAAATAGAAGCTTAAAGTAATGGTATTAATTTTTTTTCAAGTATAAAACAACAAAAATGAGCTGTTAAAAAAAAGTCCCTTGTAATTTCACCCCTAAATATTAATAAAGGGGAAGGCTTTGTTTATATCTTTGGGCATTTTCTATATATATTTTTTTTTCAGATACACACACACATATATATATGAGCATGCTTTATTATTATTTTTAGTATTATTGTCTTAAAACAATTGTATAATACTACACATGATATCCTATATTTTCTATCCTATACCTGTAACACTATCTCATTTAATTATTGAATGGGATTCCCTTTTATTGGTTTATTCTGATTTATTCTTTTAGTCCTTTATTAATGTATGGTTGAGTTGATTCAACTACAAATGGGTCATGAAAAGCAGAATGTACATGTTTGCACTTGTAGTTACTAAATTAATGTCTCAGTTCTAAAAGCACCTTTTAAACTCCATTGTGATGCTTATAATACAGCTTCTGCCACTGCCAGAAATAACTGTTCTTTCTCAGCTTCTTTGTTGGCTCCATCCAAAGGTGCAATGGGGGTTGGGAGGGGTAGGAGAGGACTGGAGGCAGGTGGGGTTAGGTGGTGTGGGTTTCTTTTTGTTCTTGCTGTTACCTCAGTGCTGTCATGCAGCCTCCATGGCAGCAGTAGATGTTCAGTTCCCACTTCTCTAAGAATTAGCTTATTCTCCTTTCTACTGTCCCCTCAGTCTCCCCTCCACAGGTGAGTCTCATCAGATATCCCAGTCAGATGGCCTCCCCACAGATATTTTCCCTTTGACATCCCCCTTCAGAGATTCCCCTTTCTGATATTTCCCATCATCCTCCATCAGACAGCTCCTTCATCAGATGCCCTCTCAGACAGCCTTCATCAGATGCCCTCTCAGACAGCCTCCCTCAGATTTCTCCCTCAGATGCCACTCCAAGATATCTCCTCTTCAGATTCCCTTATCTAGATGCACCCCCCCCCGAAGGTTCCCTTTTTGAAGATTCACACTCAGATGTACCCCTCAGACTGTTCCCCTCAGGCCTTCCTACAGGAGCTGCAGCAGCCATGTCCCCCTGAGATGGGGCATCACCACCCCAACCCCTTGATATGCTTTCATATTCTGATACCTGGACCATTTCTCTGGTTCTCCATCTTATAATCTTAGAAAGAAAGCTGGCTTTAGAATTTTTGGACTTTTTCTATTGCTTTATGTAGTGTTCTAGATCCTACTGAGATGGAGATAGTAGACGTAATCAGATGCTTCTGGGATTCCTGTCATCCCCTCTATGTGACCCCAGTCAGCTGCTTTTTCAGCCTGTATCTCCACTGTGGGTGACTGAATGCTGTGGAGATGGTATGTGATGGAGCTTGTGTTGTGCTGGCACTTCCCTCATTGATGGCGAAGTCTGAGTACTTGATAGCAGAAAATAAAAATAACCCAGGATATTCAATAATTTGGGAATAGACAAAATTTCATAATTGTCACTTTTGCAAAATTTTGATACTATCACTAAAAATGGCATTTCTCTTAACTTTAAAAGCTTTGTATTCATGTTTGGTTTTGAAGACAGAATATACATTCTATAAATGATTGTGGCTATGTTAATACACTCAGAAAAAAGAAAGATATCAAAATGTTAATTTGCTTTTCTATAGGCAATAAAATAAGGGGAGTTGATGTTCAAAGCTTTGCTGTGCTTTCCATATTTTCTGAAATACCTTTGCATTTATTTTATAATGGTAAAGTATCTCCCACCTTTCTTTAAAAATATTATTTAGCCTAAGATCTTTTATTTCTTATATATTCAGCTATTTTCTCTGTTGCAGGATGGTGAAACGGAAGAGAAAATTTACCGAAGTGAGAGAGAAAAAGAACAAAAAGTTTAAGAAGGTGTCAGCAAAGGAGGCACCTGAGACCCCGCTGGGCACCGAGGAAGCATGCCCCAAGGTAGGTGTCTGCACTGTTTGGGAACCCAGATGGAAGAGAGCTGGATGTCAATTGCTGGCGTCTGGGTAGAGCAGAGAATGGAATAAGTTATATGAGGATGTGCTAGTGTCACTGGAGGCAGTGGTAGGAGAGATCAGAATTTCAGTTAATTTTAGGTCAGAACTGATTTTCTTCAGCCCCCAAACCTATAGATCGTGCTTTGGGGGTCCTGTGGCCAAGGGCACTAAGTGGACTAGATTGGTCCAGTGCAGACACCAGGCTGATGAGAGCCAAGCCTGTGAGCAGTGCTGTTGGGAATGGAACAGGGTATGCAGAGAGGCAGGGATGCGCTTCACACACAGGGGCTAAAAGTGTGTGTTTAAACGCTCACGTCTAAAAATGTTCACATCCAGCATACAGTAATGTATGGAAATGTACATATACTTTAAAAGTTGTTTTCTGTTACTACCAAGTTCTCAATGTTAAAATTTCTCTTCTTGATAGCTCCTACTATGCATTGATCAAATTGTAAAATGTATTACAAATTTTGACACATTCTTCAACCTAAAGTAGAATTTGACTAGGCATGCATCACATAATGGTGTGGCAGGGCTTCTTGTGTTTTGCAGTGAGTTCACAGGTCTGTGGGGGAATGCTGCTTATTGCTTGAGTGATTCTGGCTCTGTTCTGGTTTGTTCTGTTCCTCATGATTGGCTGAGTAACCTGGTTCACATGAATAAGCAAACAAGAACGGAAGTTCCCCTGCAAGGTGTTGCTTAATTCCTTAAGCTCTGAGACCTTTATGTGGGTTTTGGCATGTTACTAACATCTCTTTTTAAAGATCTACCATTAAATGGCAAATTGATTAGGTCCCTCTTCCATTCTTTTCAGAACAAAGAGTTGAAACCACCTGACTTGGTCAAGTGCTTATTGCTATCATTCACTCTAACCAGTACTTCAAACTCTGCCTCTGCTTAGTGCCCTAAAAAGTTTATGGGGCTGGGAGATGAAGGGTGGAGGGTGCAGAGTACCATAGTGCGGTTCAGGGTGACAGTGGCCTTCTATAAAATGGGGAAAGGGCATTGTGCAGAGGGAGGATTGGAAGGAGGGCCTATGTCAACCTTTGGCCATAGTCTAGTCTGAGCCTTTTTCTCAATAGTTTTCAGCAGGCGTGGCACTGGTGCCCTGGGAGTGGTTCCCTGCAAACCTCTGTGCTTCAAATGTCCTCAGGGTTTGATGGCCGGTCTAGTTATCCAGGACTCTGTCCAACTAGGTAGCTCTGTGCTCTTGAGGCCGTGAAGCCACTCATTTGTGTGTGGTGGGCAGTAGAAACAGGTTTTGGTGTGGAGGAAACAGATTGTGTGGCAGGGGGAGTGGGGTGCAATGAGCAGAGAGCAGATGCCCAGCTGAGTCTGGGGGCCATTTCTCAGCTTACATAGGGTGTGGGGGAGAGCTCTGCTGGTCCTGAGCACCCCTCTCCGTGGGTTCTCTGTGGCTCAGAACCCACATGCACTGGCAGTGCCTGGAGGACAAGGACCTTCTCCAGTCCGTGTGGGCTCCATGCAGGGTCCCCTATTCCCTGGCAGCTACTTCAGGGGGCTTCTCTGGACTGAATCTTGAATGTAGAGTCTAAAAATTCCTACAGAGCCTCAATTACATGTGTTTTTTCCAGGCCATTTCTATGGCCACTTCCTGCTCTTCTAGACTTCTCCAATTTCTCTAAAGTGAACTCTACACTGTAATTTTGGGATTTTCAAATTTCCAACTTTCTTTTCTTGATGATCTCCGTTTGCTGGCTGCTGGTCTCTGGCAGGACCCAGAACAGACTGAGTTAGGGTAAGCATTGGCACGGGTAGAAATTTCTGCCTAAGATCAATAGTGATATTCTTTTTGTTGAATTCTGGTAGGTTTTTAAAAGTATGTGATTGTTATTTGCTAGGTACATATTGATCAAAGGAAATTTGGAAAACAAAGGGGGAAAGAAGAAAGCCTTTTGGTATGTTTCTTTTCTGATATCTAGATTTGGTTTGCTTTATAACATAGTGTGCAAGCTTCCTGGTGACTTTTGTTTGGTTTCCGACCATGGGGATGGAGGAGCCAGTCACAGGCAGCGCAGCTGAGGACTGGAGGCAGGACTTCCAACACCTGTAGCCCTTGGAAGGGGTGGACCCTGATTAGTCAAGGGGGGCTGCTTGTGTGGGAATGCATCTGGGTGCTGAGCCAGGCCTGGCCAGCAGGGGTCGCAGCCCCTCTGCCAAAGCTGTTGGCCTTTTTGATTTTCCTGAAGGTGCTCGAAGCCTGGGCAGTTAGAGCACCTGGAGGACATTTGGTTGGTGCTGGGCAGCGGGTGCTGTGCTGGGGAGCATAGGTCCTGAAAACCTGTGGTATTTCTGAAGGCCAGTCTCCCTTGGAGATGGAGTCGTTTCTTCCTCAAGAATACATCCTGGTCTCTGCTAATAAAAACATGTCTTCCCTCACTCTCTGGTTCTCGTGGGAAACTATGAGAAAGAGGTGTGGGGCCTTTTGTTAAGGAAAGAGCATTGAATGCTGTACTGAAGTTGAAGAGGGGGTGTGGGCATCTGGGTCTGGAGAATGGCATTCCTGGGATCTGGTGGAAAAGTACCACATTGTCTAAACCCCCGACCTGACCTCCACTTCCCCTGGTCTCCTGGGTGGACCTCTGGGGTCCACAGGGAGTGGGGAGGACCACTGTATCATCTTCCCGGAAATGTCTGTCTGGGGCCGCCTGCGGGTCCCTGTGCAGTCTCTTCCCACAGCACAGTGCCTGAACCCATGCCAGGACAGCCGAAGTATCCCCAAGCCTGAAGCTTCATGGCCCTGGGGTGGTCTCCACAGAGACTGTGGGGCCGTATGTGTTCATCTCTGTTCTACCCTCCAGCATTGACCTTCCAGAGGCCTCCATTTGCCAAGGTAAAGACTCCTGTGCAGCTCCTGTTCCAGGCAGTTAGGACCTGTCACTTCTCATGCTTTGTTTGCCCAACCCTCTAGCCTGTTCACCTCCCACCTGAAATAACAGAGGGGGGTGGCTTATGATGTCCCCAAGACCAGAATCAGGCCCATGTTTTCCCAGTCCTGTCAGAGGGGCTCATAGTTCGGGGTGGAGTGGACAGGTCTTTCCTCTTGTGGGGATGGTGCTTGACACCCAGGATGGTCACACAGCATGAAACCTCCCCACCAGTCCAGACAGACCCAGGCTCCAATCATCTGCAGTGACTCTTCCAGGACTGATTCCCATGTGAAAAGGATCCCACAGATTAGCAGAGACTGCTGGCTCACTGTCCTCGGGGTTGGTTGACAGGGCAGGTGAGGAGAGTATTGGTCTGTAGCCCCCTCTCTGCCCTCACATGGGAGATACTGAGTGGTTCCCGCTGTCACGCCCAGAGCCAGTTGAGTTTCTGCACTGGTTGGAGGCCCCTAAGACCATTGGCCGCCACTCTGTTGCTGTACGTGTGACTGTGCTGCCTGGAGAGGGGAGCAGCATGCAGCAGGGCTTGGGGCTCTCAGTCCTATTCTGTCCTGTCAGTCAGAATCCTGTGTTTGCAAAGTACTTTTCCTTACAAAAGCACCTCGTACCTGATTCTCAGCAGCCACAAGACATCAGGGCTGAGAGCAGGGATGCCAGCTTCATGGACAAGTCAACCAGGGAGCTTGGGTCACTGGCCCAGTCACCAGTCACCTGGCCAGGTGGTAGTAGACCTCCTGGATAGACACTCACGCCGGGATTCTGTCTGGTAATCTTTCGAAGCTTGAGGAGAGATGAGTGTCACCTGTCCCTACGCCCTTAGTGTAACTGGACTGCGTTTGTTGGTCAGCGGTGTCTCAGCTGTGTAGCATCTGCCTTGCCAAGTTCCATGTAAGGAGGTACCCTGCTCTGTTTGGCATCCACTTTCACACTCACTGTTGATGGTGTTGATGGGAGAAGGCCTCAGTGTGTGGTCCAGACTGTCCTGCATTCAGAGTGCCTGTCTGGAGTGCAGTGACAAGTGACTGTGGAAGGATGACAGCCACTGTGTGCTGTCAGTGAGCTGGCTGTCTCCCAAGTTCCCAAGGGTGGCCTTGCATGTCCCGTGGAACGTGACCAGTGGAACAGCTGGGCTGCAAGTTCAGCCCTTTGCTCTACTTGCCCTCTTGGGGTCATGGAATGTTGTTTATGTGGAAAGGAAGCGCAGCTACTCAACATGGACCATCCTATTCCCATTGTAATCTTGAAAATCAGACAGGAATTACATGGGCATTGAGCCTACAGCACTTTAGAAAACCATCAAGTGAGGTTGTGAACTGCTCAGCCTTGAGAATTCGCTCAGAGCCAAAAGATCTTACTCCAGTGGTATTTGGCCTCAGAAAAACTGCTGACCCAGTGGTGGGTATTTGTTTTTAGACCACTGGGGACAAGGGTTTGCTAATCTTTGCTACCAGCTCCCTAGGAGCCTGAATTTGTTCTTTTGGGCAGAAGTTCCCTCTTCCATCATTTTTGTTTCTACCTTTAAAGTACTGAACGCTAGTTGTCAGCCAACTGGAATTATAAACTGGCAGATAGGTAGGATTAAAGGGGGGCTCAGAGATTGTCATCACCTCACATATGAGAAAGCTGAGGCCTGCAAAACTCAGAGACCTCCCTGAGCCATTTAAGTCTTTGAGACCACTGCTCTGTGTCAGTAAGTGACTGAACTCTGTTGCCCTCTGTGTTCTTTCCTTTTCATGGCTTAGTAATACTCCATAGGATTTATTTTTACATTGGCCACCACACATTTGTTTCCTTACCCCCACCTTTTGGACCTTTGGGTTGTGTCCAGTTTGCTGGGAACATTGTGTATGAGGCTTTCTGTTTTTGTTTCTCTTGGATAAATTACTAGGACTGGGATGGATCGAATGTTAAATGTTTACTTTTCAAAGACAGTGCTAAGCTATTTTCCAAAGTGACTGTACTACTCTGCATTCCCACCAGCAATGGATGAGGTTTCTAAGTGCCCTATGTGTTTGTCAGCATTTGGTGTTATGTT